TTCTGCTGGGCTTACCAAAAAAAGGAATATCAAAACGTAAATCTGGTCTGTGTTGAATTTTTCTTTAAATACAAGCTGAACCAGACTGACATTAAATAACTAATTTAAGAGCTCAGTGATTTTTTCAAAAAATCCATGGCATTTGTATTCATGCTGACAATTTCACAGCTTGAACTTATCTTCATTATTAATGGAAATTGTGGAGTGTGGGTGTAGGTCTGAGGGTGAGTGTATGTGTGTGTTTGTGTGTATTCGTGGGTTAGCGAAGATTACTATTGATCATGCCTCCTGCATCTGTGTGTATTAATATTTCAGGTGAATAAGTGATTATCTCTAGCAGTACACTGAAAAAATAAATAAAACAATATTATCAACCAACTACACATCCAGATGAGCTTTTGGTTTTTCCATCATCCATCAAACTATGCCAGGAGAATTAACAAATACATTGAAAATAAAGAAATAGAATAAATAAAAAATGTTTGTGATGCATTATTGTGTTAGAACACAGCAAGGAAGCTTAAAGGAAACTATTCTCCCGACCAAAATAAAGGTTTATTGTGCCAAATGGCAAAAAAAGCCTTATTTTTGTAACTCATTCATAGTAAACAATTAACAAAAAATGTCAAAGCCTAGCCGAAAAAGGAAATGTTCTCGGGAGCTACAACTACAACAAAATGAACATATTTTACCGTGATTAAATTGTAATACACGTTTCTAAATGATGCCGAAGTAACAACATACTGATACCGGTTAGTAAAAACCATGAATTAATGCTTGACAAGTCTGCAGACAAGACGGCAGGCGAAAAATCTTTTAAAATGCTTGTTTTCTGAATGAAGATCGGGTCGACCAGGCTAAGCTAACGTTGTATATGCTCATTTCACACTCATAACAACGGCCTACAGACATAAATAAAGCAGCGACTGTATTCACCATGACACAGACAGTCTGTGGTTTATACTTGTTTAACTTTTGTCCAGTTTCTGAACAGATATGAGGAGCTGTGAGCTCTGTGTGCTAACTGCTAACAGCTAATGACTGATGTTGTGTGGTTGAACGTCAGTGACGGCGGCTGAGATCCTCACCGCTGATTGGCTTCCGCGAGAACGCGTCACGTGAATTTGACGCTCGAGTTGAAAAAATTGAACTCTCGCGTTTAACGCGGCACCGTTCAATCGCCTCAATCACGTGATTCGCGCCGCGTCCACCGCGTCATGCTCGCCGTCGGAGCGAATTTGCGTCTATCCGCGTCTCTGCATTGACTTTACATGTAATCGCGCCGCCCCCAAACATCGCATCGCGTCCGGTGTGAACGCAGCATAATTGCTTCTCGGCATCTCTGCAGAATCCTATGGGTGACGTCACGGACCCTACGTCCATTTATATATACAGTCTATGGTCTCCCTCCATGCTCCCTGTGCGACGCGTCATATGACGTCACATGTTTGGCGTGCCTGGATTGAAAATGCTTTATTTAAAACAAAACAAGGACAATGAACAAAGCAGTCTTCACAACGGCCGGACAAAATACTTTGAGCCGCCCTATAGCCAAAGACACTGTTTAAAGCATAATAAAGACAATATATAGAGAGCATAATGTTTTTAATGCAATGCAGCAACGTATGCTTCAGCAGAGAATGGTCTGCGGCGGGAAGCATTCGCTCGCGATCTCAAGAAGCCTATGGACATCCCGGAAAGTTGAAAATGTACGCTAAGGGCCGCCCCCCTTGCGTTGGAAAAAGACCACAGGGGACCTTGACATAACGTCAACATACGCCGACCTGGGAGTGAGGATGTGTTGCACAGAGCGGACAGCAGATAACGGAGCAGATTACAAGATTGGCGTTTAGGACTTTTTCTATACTTTGACTTTTGTCAAATAATGGCTTGCAGGAAAGAGATGCTTACTACTTTACAGGCAATGGAAATGGTGACTAATGTTGACAGCGATGCAGATATGTTACCCGTTGATTCTGAGTCAGACGACGAGGATCTCCTGCAGCCAGAACGGAACCCGGAGCGTTGTGACTCTGATGATGAAATTCCACCACGGGAAAGGTATGTAATCTCTCTGTTTTTATCTATTACTTATTTATTTGGTGTACGATTATTCATATAGTAAATAAAAGCATCTGCTAAATGTAATGTAATGTAATGTAATGTAATGTAATGTAATGTACGCTCAAAATGGCCAGTGTTCATCTATAGTCACTAAATGTATTGCATTCACACACTCAAAATGGCATGTTTACTGCCAAGGAAACAGGAATTACAGGAATTAATCTAATCTCTTTGTTTTTCCACATTTGTTTTCATAGTGATGGAGATGAGGATGAAATGGCTTCACCATTGCCTACTTTCACCCAGCCCACACCTGCCTCACCCTCACAGTTTTAAATAAATCTGCTCCAGTTGGAGTCAAACTTACAACAGTTGTATTTGGATGGAATGAATACCTATAGTGATAATTCAAAGTAATAAAATGATTTTTACAGTGAAAAAGGTCAAATGGAACTGATGGTTCCCAAATTACCCAGAAGTGAGTCCGCCCGGACTTTATTTTTCTAAACCTCTCTAAAAAGGTCAAATTTCACTTGTTTTGCATCAATCTTGATACAGGGTACTTATTATATGTTATAGTTTGGATTCCTAAAGCTTTTAGTCTACTAACCCATCATTCAAGGGTGGTTTTCACTATAAGTAATGTTTTTTTTTTAGGCGGAGATAGAATTTACATGTTTTTACTTTGTTCCATATGAATTTATTTTAAAATAAAAACATCTATATTGATTCTGACACTTCTACATCCAACTCACAGATGTAACCTTGCTTTGAGAAAAAAGATTATTAATTTACCCCTTTTAGAAGTGAAGATATAGTCTTTGTTGTGTTAGTGGCATTTTCGAGCCTGAAACCTGAAAAACAGGCTCAGGGCTTAACAGGTTAATGAACAGGGTGTGCATGTGTGACTGTACAGGTATGATATAGTCCTGGTAGCTGTCAGACAACTGTACTCCAGACTGAGATTTATATTTTTTAAGCACTGTTTGGCATTAATTATTCAGACTGAAAACAGTCTGAGCAGCGTGGCTTTTGTCTTGTGTGCATGAGAGAGAGCGTGCATGATGGAGAGATACAGAGAAGTAATGAGAGAGGGCTGTAGCTGAAAAGAAGGGGCGAGGCTCAGAGCATTGGCATCAGCTCAGCTTTACATTTTGAGAAAATGTAATTATGATGGGGGAGTTCACAGTCTTACTTGCAGGTTAATAACTAGTTCAAACTAATAACAATAAATGTATTCAATGTTGCTTCTTACTACTGTACTCAAAGGATTTTTTTAAATAACAGTGCTCTAACAAAAGCAAAGGGCATGTTCTATTCCTAGTTTAGGAAAAAAATACAGAGAAAACATATATGTGTCACTTATTGGCCTGATAAGAGAGTTTATTGATAAATGAAATCGAAGGATCTAATGTGTTTTTAAACGGATCAGAAATATAACTAGTCTCCCACTTCAAGTATCTTGGAGTCATACTGGACTCGAACTTGACTTTTAAGAAACATATCAAGAAAGTATCCAATACTATTAAATTCAACTTGCAAAATGTTAAACGAATTAGACCTTTCTTAACTGTCAATGCTGCAAAGTCATACCTCCACAGTATGATTCTATCCCACATTGAATACTGTTTTACAAACTGGTCGTTTGCTTGTGCCACAAACCTGAAACCGATAGAACAGCTGTACAAGAGAGCTATCAAGGTGTTTGACAGAAAGCCTTATTCATACGACCACTGTACCATCCTTGAAAAACATAATTTCTTTTTTGACAATTTTAAGTCTTTTAAAAGTATGTGTTTTATTTATAAATGTTTACATGGAATGGCCCCCCCCTCCCTTAGGGGAATTCATCCACAAAAAAGACACTGGACGCTGCACTAGGTCAGAAACCAGAGGAGACTGTGAAGTCCACCGTAGACGGACCACTTTTGGACAAAATGTACTTTCAATTAAGGGCAGCTCATTCTGGAATAGCCTCCCAACTGAGATATGGGATTGTCCCATTCTCAATAGCTTCAAAGGTCAACTCAAAGAATGGATAAGAAACATACAGACGTGCAATCACTACTAAATGCACTTTTATACAGGGGCATCTCCTCTTGCACTTTAGGTAGCTCTTGTATCTTCTCTTGCACTTTATATGTCGTTGCTGCTATATTGTATTACCATGTCATAAATACTTGTGTATGCTGCTCTTGCTCTCTTGCACTTTTTGCATAACAGGTATTTTGTTTTTACAATATTTGTAAAATGTAAATTTCTTCAATATTTTTATGTGAGGGACTGCAGATGGAAATTAGCTGAAAGCTAAATCTGGCACTGTTACGCTTGACACATTTTAATGTTTCAAGTGTTCATTACCGTGCATTGTCCCTGCCAAATAAACGATTAAATAAATAAATATTGTTCATCTATATTGAGGCTCACATACAGACATGTAAACAAAGCAGTCTCAGCAACCTCTCACCCTCCTAATGATTTCACAGAAAGGTTAACATGTTATAGATGAGAGTATGCCAGATTTGCAAAGTATATCTTACAGCACCACTCTATTCAGATAGTACATGAAAAAAAAAGAAATGGTGTGCCTTTCATAACTTCCTGTCACAGTGCAAGCTTGCTACCACTCATGTGCTATGAGGAAACGTGTCACTGCTTTTTACAACCACTCTAAACTAAGAACAAAGTCCAACAATATTCCAATCTGTATTTCACCAAATAGCCAATCAGTAGTTAATAAAGGTTTAATACTGTTGTTTGGTATTTGAGTCTTTTTAATATAGTTATTTTTTTAGAGCAATTCAATTACATTAAATAACAATCTAAATGGTTAAAATAATTCAAGGCTGTCTTTACACAGTTACATATATTTTGATACACCACTCATGAAGTGTGTGTTTCACAGGAAATGTGCATATCTTGCCAATCAGCTCCTCCCTTTTGTTCCAGTGTGCTCATGAAGAGGGAAATGAACAGATTGTTCTTGCTTGCTTTGCCACGGTTTTAGTATAAACTTACTTTTAAATCTGTGGGTTTAAAACACATCAGAGGATACATGGTAAGTGAAATGCAGATTTAAAATATTACAAGGGAAATGTTTTTGGAAAATGTTTGTCAGTGTCTTTACAAACTGAAACTGTTCTTGTTTTAATGTCAGTGTGTAAAAGAAAGGGCACAATGTCAGCAGTAACTAAAGTATCTGTATGAAAAGAAAATATCTAAGCTGTCATTAAGCCACTTTATTTAAGTTAAGCAGCTTTTCATATTTCCATGTTTAATAATAGATTTGAGGTGGCTCTACCAGTTCAGCAGGAAATGGCGCTGCGGAGCCGCAAGACTTATGGTGATGAATGCTTTGAGAAATGGGAGTTTGTCAGCTCTGGGGGATTCGGTCGAGTCTGCAAGGCCAGGCTAAAGAACTTGGGAATTGATGTGGCTATTAAGATACTCCATGATGGATCTTCTAGGTAAATATAAAAATACCTAAAAAGGTCATGCACATTCTGAATAGAAGTTCAAAAGGTTGTTACTGCTTTCCCATATCTCTTTTCAACAATCCCCTACCTTAACTATCATTTCCAGCTCCTCCATGATACTGCGTGATGAGGCCAAGTATATGGATATGGCTTCCTTTAACTTTGTGGTGAGGCTTTATGGAATGTATCAGGGCTGTCCGCCTGGTAAAGGACCATCCACACAACAGGGATTAGTGATGGAGTTCGTGGAAGGAGGATCTGTTCAGTCCCTGCAGGAGAAACTTGGCGACCGTCCACCGTGGCCCCTGTGGCCCCTGGTTTCCCGCTTGTCCCATGAAGTGGCTCAAGGCATGAACTTCCTCCATACAGAACATCTCATGCACCTAGACCTTAAGCCAAGTAATGTACTGCTGAATGATAACCTTAACGCCAAGGTAAAGTGCCTAACCTCCTATGTTTACATTAGACAAAAGGAGATTTAATAATGTGTTTAATACTATGTTTCCCTTCTTTCTCTGTAGATAGCAGACTTTGGTCTGTCCAGAGTTTCCGCCAGCGCTTCAAACAGCAACAAAGAGACAACAGGGGCGATTGGTGGCTCATTCAAGTACATGCCTCCAGAAGCTCTTCAATCATTATCATATGAACCTGTTCGTTCTTTTGATGTATACAGGTAAGAAATGAACAAATAATACTACCCAATATGGTATTAACCTTAAAAGGATACTTTACACCCAAACCAATCATTTGTATATCTAATACTCACCCTGTGTTATCTGGAATTCATGAGAGACGGATGAAGATTCTAAAAAAGGAATAAATCCTTGATAAATTTAAGTAATTAGGGACTGCATATAAGAATAGCAAAACTATTTAAAAATATCTGTGAACAAACTCAGATGTTAACAGAGGAGGCATGCAGGAAAGTTGTATACAATGAGTTATTACTATACAAATGGTAGTGTTGGGGTGAAGTATTTCTTCAACAGTGTTACCGTGTTATGAAATCCCTTTCTCTCTCTTGTCATATCAGCTATGGTATCCTGCTCTGGACCATTGCTACTGGTGAAGATCCCTATCCATGTAAGTGTAGTTTATTTTGTTGTCCTATCATTTTCCACTCTGTTGTTTTTCCTTTTTTGCCATGTAGGTTTACAATAACTTATTCAATTAAATCAATGTTCTTTATCACATGTACTGCAGTGGCTAATTACGATCGTGTGGCATTGAGTATCCCTAAGGGGGACAGACCTTGCTGTAAGGAAATTGAGCAGATGAAGGTAGATGGGCTGAAAGAACTGATTCCCCTCATGAAGGAGTGCTGGCATGGCAGTCCCAACCAGAGGCCTACCTTTATAAGTAAATATTTGTTTTTGTTGTCAGTAAGTTTGAAATGTTTCTGAACTAAATGAGCTACACATTAGCTTGGATACCTTTTGTATACTAGCTTGACACACATATTTACAATGTAATGGTGCTTCTGTTTTAGAGTGCCTGGACGTCACTGAGAAAGTGCTCTCAATGCACAGCATGGGAATTGATGATGCCGTGCGTCAAGTGAAAAGACTGGTACAACTCATACATTTAATTTCATTAAAGGAATAAGTGCATATAAGTTGATTTGTAACTTAGATACACTTTTAACAGGTTTATCTTCTTTCTCTGATATATCATATTTTTTCCCTGTGTTACTTTAGATGTCACCAAACAGCAACACATCAAACACAAGTGAGGCGACCAATGTTTCCCTTCAGACAGCAGGTAGATTGTTCAACACTGTTTGTGGGTGGAAGTAGTTTAATCTAAGTTATAAATTATTACTTACTTTTGACAATAGAATATTATGATTCTTTCTCTTTTGCAGAAGAGTCAACATATGATTCTGTGGATTCTGGAAGGTCTTCTACTAAAACAATGAGCATTCAAGATAAAGGTGAGTATTTTTGCACCAAAAATGTATTAAAAAAAGTGTGTTATCATTTCCTGTTAAACATAAAATCTCAATAGAGCATTTTATTGAATGACAGCATTTCATACAAAGTCAGTTAATTATGCCTTTTATATGTACATTATTTTATTCTTCTATATTTGAAAACAGCAAAGTTTGTTGATCGCAACTGGGCAGAGTTGATTCAAGACGTTTCAGAGGTAATGGCAATAACCGAGGCACTTGGAGACATGGTCCACCCTGAAACCTTATCCAAGATTGGAAGACAGGACACAAGCCAGGATAAAATGAGAATGCTTCATGGGCCTCTACGTTCAGGGGGCGATAAGGTCAAGGCAGCCTTCTACGACGCCCTCAAGGCTCAACATCTCCACCTAGTGGAGAGGCTTGGTAGGACTTCCTTCTGTAAATGATTAACATGGGAGTTTATCTATGACATATTATCATATTTTAAAATGTCTCCTTCTTTACAGGTGGTTCATTCTGAAGACACTGTGGCCTCGCGCATTCTCGCAGGTGCAGAATACTTTGCATGCCTCACCTACTTTCATCTTTTGTAAAAAAGTTCATATATGTTATGCTTTTATACATATTGTTGAGATTTTATAAAACTTTTATATTCTGTAACATATAAAGTTTTACATTTAAGGATCTTTGAAAAACAAAATGTTTTCTTAATAAACAATTGTTTATTAACAGAAAAAAAAATACTGTGTCTTTATGGTTTCATTGAGTCGACAAACATGTGTTAATTTTATAAAGAGGAAGTTGCTCTTACTCGAGAGCGGGAGAGATAGAAAGAGAGAGAGAGAGAGAGAGAGAGAGAGAGAGTCACCTGCAGATGATGGCGTCAAGGGGGCATCTTGGCCAATACAGTTACTCATGTTTCAGCTCTTTGCAAAGGTTTGTTGTTCACCACTCACACACTGAACACTGGTCAATACGCTGAGCTGATGAAGAGAAAAAACATGAAGACAGTTCACACGTGTAGTGAATCTTCAAACCACCTTTCGTGCATTCATTTACCTTCATTTTACTTTAATTGTGAGTGCTTTTCTTTCACTCGTTTACCTTCTTTTCTGGTGATAAAATGTTATATCGGATATGATTGACAGTATTCTCAACATGTGATTTTCTATGAGTTTCCATAAACAGAAAATAATTTAACTAACTTAGGTATAAACAAATGTTTCCCTTTCTCTCACGTGGACACTTCTGTCTGCCTGTCTCTCTATCTGTCTCTCCCCTCTGTCTCAAAGGAGCTAAACTGGCGGCATAAAGGTATTCTGGGATTTGACCTTTGTCTCATTCACAGCTCTGTCTCTCTGAAAAAACAACACACTGTAATTTTTGCAGACTTAATCAACAGGTTAGCTGAAAACTCTGTGCTCCTGCCTGAGGGCCTTACTGGCCTCAAACTCCGGTGACCAGAGCTGAGAAACAGGAAAACAAACTCTGGACTTTTGTTGCTGCTTCTTCTGCAGTTTGGGATTATTGAGAACAATTATCTGGCCATACTGGATGTAAAACAGATGGCAAAACTGCTTCCTCCCAAGTTCAGCTGTGCATGAAAGGTATTTATGTGAACATGCACTCAAAGCTGTTTATCAGTGCTTAAACTGAACAAGCTGTGTGGGAGCTGCTCGGACCAATGTTAACTTGCTGGTAAAGGTGTGAACAGAGACACTTACCAAATCGACTACCGGAGGATCGTTGGGGACATGGAACCAGCGCGGCCTCGCATCTTAAACAGAGATGCCACATGGATATGGGCATGAGACATGCAACCCAGCGCTACAGTGACACATATCCAAGCTGGATATGAACCAGAGAGGTCAGTCTGTCACCACATGGCTCATACTATAAGATCTGAGATATTTTCACTTTCCAGCAGCACTGGTTGTGTGCTTTTAAAAGCCTGTTATCAGCTTCCTGGGCAGAAAACCAAATCCTCTTACCTGCACTGCCGTCACAGGTGTATAGAAAGAGTGTTCACAACAAGAACAGATCCCTTTTGTTACTGTTTTGGGTCACCAGTCCAACATTTGTAATAGTCTGGCAGCCTGTGTTTAAGAAATGTCCACTGCAGCGCGTAGCACGGTTTTAAGTGTGCTGTGCCAAACCCGGCCCGTTTTTTGTTGCGTTTCCACTAGGGGTATTTCCGGCTAACGGGTACTTTTTCACAGTTTTTCTGGCCCTCCAAAATCGTGGTTCTTTCCGGGCCAACAACCGGGCCGAATATGCTAAACTAGTGAGAGAATCGCTGAAAAGGGGGCTACAACTAAAATGAACATATTTTACCGTGATTTAATTGTAATACACGTTTCAAAATAATGCCGAAGTAACAACATACTGATACCGGTTAGTAAAAACCATGAATTAATGCTTTGACAGTCTGCAGACAGACGGCAGGCGAAAAACCTTTTAAAATGCGTGTCTTCTGAATGGAGATCGGCTAAGCTAACGTTGTATATGCTCCGACCGTCCACACTCACAACAACGGCCTACAGACATAAATAAACCAGCGACTGTATTCCCATGACACAGACAGTCTGTGGTTTGTACTTGTTTAACTTTTGTCTCGTTTCTGAACAGATATGAGGAGCTGTGAGCTCTGAGTGCTAACAGCTAACGGCTGATGTTGGTTTTGTGGTTCGCATTGAAGATGACGTCACGGCTCCGCCTACACTGCATTACTATAGTTACTGCCCCAGCTACTAAACTGTAATGGAAACACAGCATAAAGTGAGCCTGGCCTACCAAGGCCTCACTATACCGTACTAAGCCGTGCGAGGCCCTGCAGTGGAAATGCGCCATAATGAAGCCCTGCTCAAATTTCTGGCAAGAACAAAAACACAAGTTTTAAGGGGTTAGAGGCCAGTCAATGTAAGTCGTTTTCTTCTTATTGGGAAAAAGTGTTGTTATGGGTGCTACAGTGTCACAGATGACTCTATGTCAATAGTCACTTAATGTTTTTGTCGACTTGGTCCATCTTACCTTGACTTTGCGGACCTCGTTGGCCTGGAACTCAGCAGTACAGTTATGATGAATTATTCCAATCCCACCCATCAACTGAAAACAACCAATCAGGGACATGGGAGGAAATAATAAATTGATGAATGAATGAATGAACACTGAAAATGTATTTAAGGCCTTCAATATTCCTGGTAGAGTCTGTGGTGCAGGACGATGCTAAGCTGAGTGTAAAATCGTTGTATGGCGTGTCTGAGGTGCAGGGTTTTTACTCACTGCCATGGCGATGGCCATGGATGACTCTGTGACTGTATCCATGGGAGATGAAATGAGAGGTGTCTTCAGTGTTATCTTTCTTGTCAATGCAGAGGTAAGATCCTAAAAATCACGTGCATTTGGAAAAAAGAAACATCAGCTTTAATCAAAGATATAAATACACATTTAAAATGACATGGCATACAACTGAGAAGCAAAGTCCTGCAGTGTTGCAGCTACAGGACAATGCTACCCATTTGTTAACCAAAAGTTAAGGTTTGTTTTTGTATGCCGTGTAAGAGCCTAAAAGCCAGCTTGGCCGATTAGAGGCCGCCTTGTTGAATCCACCTGCTGAGTGTTAGGTGACGCATGGGTGTGTCTGTTTTTAACACCTGCTATCGAGCAATAACCCATGTGACCTAGGCAAGTAGGCATGAAATTAATTTAAAGTCCCAGCAGAGCTTGCAAAGACGAAAACAAAGCATGTGAAATAAACAACCCTGTGCTCTAAGGAACATAACAACGAGTTAGGGATTCATTACAAGCATTACAGCAAACCTTGTCTGTTCTTGTGAATGATACAAACAAACATTTTTCTTCAATTGAGACCAAGGATGAGAAAATGTTTGTGTTCTCATCCTTGGTCCTTCTTAATATGAAAAACTAAGAAATTGTTCTGTGTGCATCACCTATTAAACAAATCTAACAAAACAAACACCAGGGAACAGTTTGTCACTTGAGTGATAAGCGAGAGAGGGTTGAGACACTTACCACCTCATCAGAAGTAACATCTATGAAACCAGGCAGGATCAAGAAGTCACTGAGAGGAAAGACAAAACAGACACAAGTGAAAATCATGATTTGGAACTGAAAAAGTTTCAATATCAATAATACAATGACCTCAATAAACAAGATGAATGTAGCTTTAGATGTGAACTATACAGAGCAAATTCTATTCCTACAATGCATCAGTTTTTTAGAGGTTGCTGTGAGCAGACCTAATCTGTCAACCCTCTGAACTGGTCTGCATTTATCCTCTGCACACTGATAAACCCTGCATATAGCCTCCATTAAGGAAACCACACCAACACCCATTAACACACTGATATGTGCACACACACTCACCCACTGTTATTAATGTCTGAAAGCCATCCTTGAAAGTAATATTACACATACTAATCCTCAATATAATACCTAGGCAGATGTGTCATCACTGATATTACTAACATTAAATGGAAGGCATTGATTGCATAATCTAATGTGTATTTCTGTATGTGCACATGCACGGCATACCATGTGAGCAAATGCATCCGTGTCAGTGTGTGATACCATGAAATGAGGTAAAATGTATCTGTTATGTTTTGTGTTTTTTTGCATTTCTTACTTGTATGTAAGTCCATCGCCGATTGCAAAGAGTTGTTGTGCTGTTAGTCCATCTTCAGGAACATAACCTGTGCCTCCACTGATCCAGTAGTCTGCCATGCTGGAGTATAAACACACACAGAGAGCCTATATAAAATAAATGCATTATTATTATTATTATTATTATTAGTTCACGGAATGCCCTTGTATACACACATTTACCGCCAAACCATATATCACATATTTCACTGTACCATAGTTACTGGTTCATATATCTATACAAATGTTAAAAAAAAGTGTAGTCTCTATGCATGTATCCCTTGTGCGTAACATGTTGTTTTATCTTTTCTCACCTCTGTTTCTTAAACACAGGCTCCAGACTATTGCAAATGTTGGACTGGTGACCCAAAACAGTAACAAAAGGGATCTGTTCTTGTCTGTGAACACTCTTTCTATACACCTGTGACGGCAGTGCAGGTAAGAGGATTTGGTTTTCTGCCCAGGAAGCTGATAAACAGGCTTTTAAAAGCACACAACCAGTGCTGCTGGAAAGTGAAAATATCTCAGATCTTATAGTATGAGCCATGTGGTGACAGACTGACCTCTCTGGTTCATATCCAGCTTGGATACGTGTAGCACTGTAGAGCTGGGCTGCAGTCTCATGCCCATGTACATGTGGTGAGGGGGGGACATACAGTAAGCCCTGTAGGGAAGAGGTCGTTCCCCATCTCTGTTTAAGATGCGAGGCCGCGCTGGTTCCATGTCCCCAACGATCCTCCGGTAGTCGATTTGGTAAGTGTCTCTGTCCCCTTCTCCAAACCGGTCATAACCATGACCCTCCATCCAGGGCCCCCAACGCCCCCCCCCCCACACACACACACACACACACACACACACACACACACACCACAACACACACACACAAACACACACACACACACACACACACACCACACACACACACACACACACACACACACACACACACACACACACACACACACACGGCCTCTTCAAGCACTTCTGACCTGTTTCATGAACACAGCTTCACACCTTTACCAGCAAGTTAACATTGGTTCCGAGCAGCTCCCACACAGCTTGTTCAGTTTTTAAGCACT